CTTAGTCTGGTGGTATTTAAATTTGAAACAGTGTTACATATGTGTTTGTTTGAGTTAAATCCCATAGTACAGAAGAAATGGGATGGTCGACATGGGGGAAGGACAGAGAGGAAGAGCAAGGAAAGAGATATCTTGGTTGAGGGAGCCATTATGGAGCTAGTGTGAAGCCTGTCACCTCAAAAATTCCCAGGAATCCATAATGATGACCCCAGCTAAGACCCTTAGCAATAGCTGAGAGGGTCCCTGAATTGTCCTTTCCCTGTAATCAGATTGATGACTACCTTAATTGTCATCATAGAACCTTCATCCAGTATCTGATGGAAGCATATGAAGAGAATCACAGATAAGCACTGCTCAGAGCTTCTGGAGACCAGTCAAAGAGAGGGGGGAGCAATACTATGAGGGTCAAGGGGGATACCCACAGAAACAACTGACCGGAGCTAGCCAGAGCTTGTGACTCCTGACTGACAGCAGGAAAAGCTGCATAGATCAAACTAGGTCTTCTGAATGTGGCTGACAGTTGTGTGGCTGGGGTGGTGTGTGGGGCCTAGTAGTGGGACCAGGATTAATCTCTAGTGCTAAAACTGGATTTTTGGAGCCCATTCCTTTTGGAAGTATATCCTGCTCAGCCTAAATATAGTGGAGAGTTCATTGATCCTGTCTCAAAATGATGTGTAAGACTTTATTGACTCCCAATGGGAAGCCTTACCTTCTCTGAGGAGTGGAGGGAGGGTGGGGTGGGGGGAAGATGGGAGGAGCAGAAGGAGAGAAGAGAATGGGAACTGGGATAGTTATGTAAAATGAGAAAAGATTATTTTTAAAAAATAAATTAAAGAAAATAATAAAAAATAAATAAATAAATCCCATATTACAGCATAATGTAAATTATTTACTTACTCTATGTATAATGGTCTTCCCACAGGGCAGGTAATCCTGATTACTCTTTGGGCTGACGAGGGAGGGGGACTTGATTGGGCGAGGGGGAGGGAAATGGGAGGCGGTGTCAGGGAAGAGACAGAAATCTTTAATAAATAAATAAATTAAAAAATAAAATAAAAAAATATTTATTACGTCTTTCATTTGACCAATATGTATTTAGCCAGAAAAACCTGAGCTACAAATATATGTAATGAGATTTTTCAGTAATGAATGGTACTTTTATTTTTACAGAACGCTATATCTAATGTAACACTAACATTTATTAGTAATAGTCAGTTCTGTTTTGAGAAATTCCTGGAAATAATTTCAAACAATATAGTGAGAAAGTTCAAGGCTTTTCTTTCCTTTACCAATTGATTAAAGGACCAAGAATCCGTTTGTGTCTTTCTTAATTTACTCTGACATGCTTTTACAACTGACTGTGAGTGCAGTGGGGTGGGACTGCCTTGAGCTCACTCACACTTTTCGTCAGGCCCCTCCACCTGCGTCACTCAAGCCCCTTTGCTTGACTGTCCGTTGCATTTATTCGCTGCCGTTCATCTCTTACTTTTCTATAGCAATCTTTTTTGTCTGAATCCTAAAGTTTAGTTATTACTTACTTTATTTTCATGTTAGAGGAAACTGTGGTTTAAAACAGGTGATTTTTAAATATAAATCTTCAGTAAAAAATGTCTCTTCTTATAAGTTACTAAAATAGTTATAAGTATAGGTGACTTTTGGTATTTTATCGGATCTCCCCAAATCCTTCTGTTTTTTGATAATTATTTGTCCTTCATAGTCAGTCATAGTGCAAACATCAGGTTACTCTTTTGTTACTACATTCTTCTGGGTCGTAAACTATCCTACAGAAGTTTCTTATTTGAAATATAAAACTAATCAAGTATTTCCTCTCAATTGATATTAAACTAATATTTGACGTTTATGTTATAAAATCAAACAAAATTTTAGATCATATTTAAAGACAATTATAGCACTATTTTCTGAAAATATTTTGGTAGACAAGTATTTAAAATGTGACATCATATATTCATCAGTGTATTCTTATAAATGCCAATAAAAACCTACTTTTTCTGAAGGTGAGATTTTGACATTTGAAGGTGGAGAAAGATATTTGGCATAAAGGGAAAACTGAAACTCTTCAGTATTCAAAGCTAAATAAAAATGTATGACTCTCATAGCAGAAGTGCTGGAGGAAGCTGGCTCTCGGGTCTTTCGTGGCAAAATGTCCCAACCAGATTGACCATGAATAAGTCTTAGTAGAAAATTTAGTCTGCAAGCTTGTTTTGAAATTATTATTTTCTCGTTTTTCTATCTCTTTTCCAAGAAAAGTCAAGCTCTCCAGCATAATATTTCTAAGAAACAAATGTTAATAATAGTAGATTAATTCTGCTGAAGAAAAAGATTTGATGAGATTATTATTCATCATAATACAATCTGATTCTATTTGAGAATATCCAGATAGGAAGTTGACAATGGAGAGTGTGTTTCTTCCATTTTAACAGTTTGAATTGAAATGTGACTCCTGAAAACCAAGGTTGTTTTTTTCTGTTGTTGTTGTTGTTGTTTTGTTTGTTTTCAAAATTTTTGAGCTATTACCACTCTCCACACATCTTTTTTTCCAGTGTAATTTTTCCAAATGTAGACTGAAAAATAGCCTTCATTTCCTGAATAGCAGTCAGAATACTCTTTCTTTTCACCTAATGAAGAATTATTCCTAGAGCTGAAGAGTATCACACAGTGTCTCATGAGAAAGCTATTAGTGTAAGACCTGTGCACTTTTTCCCATAGAAACGTAATGCCAAGCATTAATACAGAAATCCTTCTTACAATCAGTCTTACATCTCCCTTCTGTTCTGATGAAGGTTGCATGGCTGGGTCATGAAAAAAAAAATGAACAAGGCTTTAAAAGAAAAAACATGATCTAATTTCTCTTTGTTTCTTTTTTCTTACCCTTTAAGAAGTGGAACCAACAGGCAGTGAAAAGATTGATGATGAGAATAGAGCTGAGTTTGAAAGTGGGACTCTTTGAAAAATGTAAATTTTTTTAGAGGATTTTATACATGCAGAACCATCAGGTTCTTTGAATGTGCCACCAATTTTGCTTCAGCAAATGCTACTTGGCTGTTATATATTCCTTTATTCATTTATTTTACACTGGTTTAAGAAAGCTCTTAAATCTGTAACTTAGACCAGGCGTATCAAAAGGAGAAATAGCAATATTAAAAATATATTGAAGAACTGCACAAGGAAGATGATTCTCAAGGCTGCTAAGGAGCATGATTTTCTTTCCAGGCTATTACACTCTGACTGGTTGGGATTTATTGGTTACCAATATTTTCTTAAGCTGATATTTTCTCTGTCTTTCATAAAATACCAGTGGAAGATTTTCTTGAACAAAAATGCAGTTATTATTTAAATTTATTTTTAATGAATTTTAATAGCACATACTCATTATACGCAATAATGGATTTCATAGATATCTTGCACAAGTACATCAAGTAATTCTATTATCTTTACTCTTACTCTCCCTGGTCTGTATGCAATTCCTATTAATCCCTTTTTCCCTCATATCTCTCCTTTATCTGCACGCCCACTTTACATTCATGTATGCTCTTGTCTTCCTCTGTAATATCTAAGCTCTACATATAAGAGAAAATACTTGATATTTGTCCTTTTGCATCAGATATTTTATCTAATAACATTTTCTCTAGTTGCATTTCCAGCAAATGGCCTGATTTTATTCCTCTTCCTAACTAAAGAAAGTACCATTTTGTATAGACAACATTTTTTTGGAACTCAGCAGTATCTTTCTGTTTCTTCCCCTGTCTCATTCTGCCTTCACATCAGGGCATCATGTATTGGATGATATCTAATATCATCATGTATTAGACAACATAGCCATCCTGTATCTGCAGTGGATAATACAGGCATGCAGAGAGTCATGGAAGGAAACTGACTCTGAATAGCAGCTGATCCAACATCACATCTAATCCTACATTTTTTTAAGACTGTTACTTATTTTTCTTAGCTTGTAGTTATAGCTGAAAACTTATTAAACAATTATATAATGATTTTAAGATTATTTGTAGACTGAATTACAAAGGGATACTCTATTAGATACTAAAATAAATATGCCATTTATGTGTCTAATTTCTTTAAAATAACTTTTCTTCAGAAGGATTATCTTAATTTTTCCAAATAACTTAAGTGTATCTGAAGGATTATCTTTATATGTAATTATATACTGTTCCTGTGAATACTTCAGTTAATCATTATTAATTATGGAATAAAGAATCAAGCAAAAAGTAGACTTCATAGATTTTTATCTCATTTCCAGGTTCCTGGGCCAAACAGGAATGATATAATGTCTTGTTTTGTGTTAGTCTTAATGATTGACCAATCTATTGATAATATTTCATATGGGAGAGAATATTTTGCAAGAGAACATTAATTTTCATTTTTTACTTTATGTTCATTACTGATGTATGGGCTCTAGTAAATCTTAGATTGAATAAGTTCTAAGGAAGGCACATTTGAACGTGTGTATCAAAAATCATGAGATTTCACAAACTGTGGTCATGGAATTATATTTGGGACATTTATTTTAATGACTAATCAAAGAAAAAATAAAATAACAAGAGTTCTATTAAGTAATATTAATTAGTTCATATTCTGTAATATTATATTATCATTAAATAAAATAAAACAAAAATTATCTTTCAACATTTTATACAAAATGTTAAACCAAAGTATCAGATTTTGAACTCTTACAAGTGATGTTATCATAAATCCAGGGTAAAGTCACAGATACTAAAAATATCAAACTTTTGGATATGTGTCTATTATTAGAATTATTTCTATTTTTTGTCTGTACTTTTCAAGCTTTTGAAGTGCTAAAATTTGAAGTGCTAAAATCAAGGTAAATAAACCAATGAAAATATTTCTAGGCGCATCCTGGCTCATAATATGATCCTAGTGTTGAAAATAAGTCGAACAATGCCTTTCTGATGGCTAACATTTTTAAAAAAGCAAATTAATGGTTAACTTTGTTTCTCATACAGAAATTCTAAATGGTGGAGTCTATGTAGACCAGAACAAATTCCTGTGTTATGCTGACACCATACACTGGCAAGATATTGTTCGGAATCCATGGCCTTCCAACATGACTTTGGTGTCAACAAATGGAAGCTCCGGATGTAAGTAGCATTACCCCATCATTAGATGTGTGTGTGTGTGTGTGTGTGTGTGTGTGTGTGTGTGTGTGTGTGCGCACGCGCGCGAGCATGGAGTCAGGGGACAACTTGTGGGAATTTCTTTTCTCCTTCTAGCATTTATTGGCATTTTTTTCTAGAGTTTAATAGTAATTAAACCCTATCCTCCATCTGCTCCCCATCTCAAAGGTCCACATTATCCTCTCTAATGTCTTTTTTCGTTTGTTTGTTTGTTTGTTTTCGAGACAGGGTTTCTCTGTGGTTTTGGAGCCTGTCCTGAAACTAGCTCTTGTAGACCACGCTGGTCTCGGACTCACATAGATCCGCCTGCCTCTGCCTCCCGAGTGCTGGGATTAAAGGCGTGCGCCACCACTGCCCGGTTCTAATGTCTTAATATTCTTTTACCCTGTGTTATATTGAACGTCTTATTCAGCATGCCATTGATGATATTTTGGCATCTGACTCCATTCAAAAGCTCATTCCTCTAATTACTCTATTTCACAGCTCTTAAACCTTGATTTCTCACTAATGCCCTATTGGTAATATCTGACTGTAGAGGGGCATGCCTTTAATCCCAGATCTCAGGAGGCAGAGGCAGACCAGTCTCTGAGACCAAGGTCAGCCTGTTCTAGGGGGTTCCAGAACAGCCAGGGATCCACAAAGAAACTACCTCTCAAAAAGAAAAACTAAAACAAACAATCAAGACAATAATTTACAATAAAGCAACATGAGTCATTATAAAGTTCATATACAAAGACTTCTTTGTTTGTAATCAGAAATAAACTACCCAGTTCTCTACTTCTTAAAAGTATAGGACACTTCTGCCAGAGAGGACATTTTAGGTAAATAGTATTTAATATGATGAAATGATAAACAAATAGTATCTGAACTATCATTAAAACCTCTGCCAATGATTATGTCTGGAATCTCATTTGTTTTTATAAAGCAGGCTTTTCTGTCACACATTTATTATTGCTGACATCTGTATGAGAGCTGAATCTTTATCGAGTATTAACCTGAGTTTTAAATTTCTTAATCTATTATTATATATTTCCCACCTGAAATCATAACTCCACATAATTCCATAATTATTTGCAATAGTGATGATTGTGTTATGACGCTTTTATAGGAAATCAAACTCCAAGGGACAATTATTAAATTTCATGATGGCCATAATAACATAATGGGGAAATATGAATGTATTTGATCAAAACTGACAGTTGTATTTTGAATAAAAGGCTAAAACAGTTTTTTTGTGAAAGTAGAGTAACATAATTTTCTTGTCATCTTTAAAAAGAAATTTGTATGAGATTCTGTCTTTGTAGTTTTAAATTTGCCTACCAGGTAAAATTTCGTGTGCATTTTTTTTTTAATCTGCTTGTGCTAACAATGGGAAAGATGTGATTTAGAAATGGCTACTATTTTCAGGTGGCCGTAATAAAGGAATATATTATGAGGCAGGGGTTGTTTGATTGGATGAGGGAAAGGCCTGCTGGTTCTCAGCTTTTTAGAAAGACTAGCCTTTAAGGCATACATGAGATCATACAAGAAAAAAGTCTGAGCCAAAAGCTTGAGGGAAATCTGCTCTCCTCTTACAGCGCTTGAAACAGGAAAGGTCTGTGGGGTTTGTCCATTTTCACAGATGGTATCGTTTTGTGCTGTTCTTTTGAGGGCTAATTTGGACGGTTGTGCCTATAATTAGGCAACTGTGACTGCGATTTTTTTGTTTTGCATGCAAAAATTTCAGATGCAAAAATTAAAAATGCAGACTGGATTCATAATCAATGGTCCTTTACAGATTAGCCGTCTATTGTTGTCAAATGTTATTGCTTACAAAGCTCTAGATGGTAAATCATTCAATCTACTATATGATATGATATCTGACAATAATGAATTAACTATTTTTAAATACTAGTTTTCAATGGTTTTATTTTCCTAACAGGAAAAGCCAATGCAGAAAAGATAAACACTAAATAAACTCCAATATTGAGTCCACTGATTTAGTCCACTTGGAATAATCCTACTTGAAGTAACTAAATATAAAGTGTAGCCTTCCAGGGTCTAAGAGGAAATGAGGCTCCAGCTCAGTTTGCACATAGCTGCAGCTTCATTAGGTGAAAGAGTTCTGAAGCGTCAGGACACAAAGGTGGGAATGAACTCAATACCACCAACGTACAAAATTTAAAAGTTAAAATCACAAATTTTATTATATCTTTTTCATCAAAAGTAGGAATAAATAATGAATAAGTGTATTTATTATTTTTATTAAAAATAGATTCTTCCCATACAATACATCCAGACCACAAATTACTCTTCCTCCAATCCTGCCAACTCAAAAGCTACTAAGTACTAGAAATGTATTATAGATATAATCTGTCATTTTTGTTTTTCACAATATAATTGTCACTACTATGCCATTTAGTTCATATATGAATTTATGAAAATAATACTTTAAATAGGTGATTAGTAGAGAATATATCTATTCATGTTCAAAAGCTTCTCAACTTTCTGTCACATAATTATCAGAATCTGGTGAATCCTCATTTGGCCTGTGTGCTTACTTGTTTTTCTTATTACCAGTCCTAACAACATGCATGCTAAATGTCTTTTAAGTAAAGAGTGACCACAACTGTGTCCTGAAACTCTGTCATTGTGAGTAACATTAAGCAAAACCAAATAGCTTAGTATTTTCTCTAAATTTATGCCCATCTTACAGCTTTATGAGCTGAGCTTTGTAGTTTGTAGATAGTTACTTTCTTCTGCTGCTTGACATAAGAAATACTAACCATGCTTTAAGATATTTATCCAGATCATATTCCAAGGAACTTTGTCCTCCTGAATTCCATTCTAGAGATGCAGGGATGGCTCAGCATATGTAAATCAATGAATTTGCCCTTCTCAGAAATCGTCTCAAAGGAAAAATCATGTGATCTCACATTCGTTCTCAATAAAAGACATGAAGGGGATACAAATGAGGGAATACAACCTAACAAAATAAAGGATATATATAATAAAACTATAGTGAACATCATCCTAAATGTGGAAAAACTCAAAGTGTTTTGACATTCCTTTGTGCTCTAACAAATAAACCTTAAAGATCAGAGGGCTGAGCTAGCCAATAGTTAACCATAGAGGTCCAAAGAGCTGTACAGACAGGCAGGAAGTGATATGCTGGGCAGAGAGAGGAATAGCAGGTGGGAGGAGACTTGTCATGTACAGTGAGAACTTTAGCTACTCAAAAATGAAATTTAGGAATATAACAAAAGAAAAAAAATATTTCGGTGAATTGATAGAATTAATCTAGTGGAAATAATTTTCTTATCAAAGTAATCTATAAATCCCATGCAATTCCAATCATTTATTAGGACTTTATTCAAGAAATAGAAAAAAATCCAAAATTTGTATTGGAGGCACAAAAATCCAAGAATCGCCAAAACAATAATGAGTTATCCAAAAAAATTATTAAAAATATTGCACAAAATATATCCTTATGTGTATTTTTATGACTCGTTTATTCATAATCCAAACATGCAAAATGTTTAAAGAGAAATATAGTCTTTGTTGAAATACATTTGGTACATAATTGAAATGTAAATAAAAGGCATGAAATGCATAATAAAACTGCTTATAATAATACAAACCTACCAGATATATCACATAACTAAATTGTTTTCCAGAGCCAAACACCAGCTTACCACAGAATTGGGATGGGTGATTGACAATTTGTACTGAGTACATCCTTTACAAACAGAATTTCATAAACTATTCTTTTCTCTAAATAAATGTTCAGACAGCTTTAATTCCTGAGCTTTATTTTGTTTCTTTTATCTAATACTATATTTCTTAATATTTACCACACCCAAAAACTGCACACTGCGTTCATGAATTAACTTTCTTGAGCTAGAAAAAAATCAAGTCTGAAAATAGAATTTAACTAAATTTAATGCAATATCACTCTTGTTATGTGTTTGATATTACAGTATTTACATGAAATAGATGTACTTTTTAATGTTGGACTTTGGTATACAGTTAACATGCAATCAAGGCAAGTAAAAACAACTTCAATTTATGTAAATAAATACATGCAATCAAATTACATGAATTTAAGAAATATTTTAAAGTCAGAGCTTCAATGGGGGGAAAAGTAAAATGCATTGAAAAGTGTAAGTTGATTTACATGATCTAAGAGGTAGCATTTTGAAAAGTACTTTAAAATGGATTTTTCAAAACTTTCACATAGGTCTTTTTTTAAATTTCCTAAATATTTTTAAACAATTAATTGGATTTTTCATAAATTTCACATAGTAGGTCATTTTTTAATTTCCTAACTATTTTAAATTGACATATATACAACAACTCTAACAAAATATTAGCTATCAGAACTAGCATACAATCTAATAAGATGCGTTAAAACAGACTACATTAATTCTATGTATCAGCTCTGCTGTTAATTAGAAAGTGAAATCCTCAGGTAATAGTAAAGTAAAGAAGAACAATCTATAGTAACATTTAAAAAAAAAAAAACCCTTCACATCGAAGTTGAAGAGCACAAACGAGTAGAAGGAAATGAGCCCAAGAAAAGGCTCAAGAATCAGATATCCACTGCTTCACACCCTCGAGAATTCCCAAAAATACTATACTGGAAGCCGTTACACATACTAAGAGAACCTGCGGCAGCCCATGCAGGCTCTGTGCATGCTGCCTCAGCCTCTGTGAGTTCATATGAGGCTTGATTATGCTGATTTGGAGGACCTTGTTTTCTTTGTGACCTCCATCTGCTTTGGCTATTCATTATTTTTCTCCTCCTCCTCTTTCATGGGCTTTCCAGAGTTCCAAGGGGAGGGATTTGATGGACACATCCTTTTAGTGCTCCAAAGCTCTCTGATGATAGCTGAACAAGGCATTTACTGATGAATATAGCAGAATATTATTAGGAGTCATTTTATCATTATTTTTTTATACCAGTAGTGTTTGGTTTATCCTAG